CTTAAACTTCAAAGTACCAAACATTTTGTGAAGGAACAGTTTCTACCTATATTCCATTTATCATTTTTGCAACCAATCCACGGACCCGAGATCACAGAGAGACTTATCGAGCTACATGACAGTACTTTACACACACTGTATTCTCTCCCAGTTCCCTTTACCATATGAAATTAAGGCTCATAAATCATGACCGCATTTTGCTTTACTTAAGTTGCAGGTTTGCATCTTTAAAATAATGATTAAATGATATTGATATTTACAAGCTATATGTGCAAATCCAGGATTTTTTTTCAAGGGGGGGGGGGGGGGGGGTTGTTCCACACCTTTACACAAGAATGTACATGTAGGCCTAAACATAGCTCTTTTTCAGTGTTCCCTTTCCTGTAAGAAAATATCTATTAATTCATAAGTTAACGTGAATCTTTAGTGATAGATGGAAACGAATCATATGATTGACACATCACTCGAATAATGATATACATTTAAAATATTTCTTTATACTTGATCCAGAAGAATTACCAAATGAATGGTGAACCATGAATGAAACATGTCATGCTGTACAGGAAATGCAAATTGATTATGAATCTTTGCACTCTGTTGCTTTAAAATTATTGTGGTTAAAATGCATAAAAACCACCACATTTACAAAAAGGGTTACAAATTTGACCAACATCTTTTTCTCAGTTTCCTACAAACTATAATTTTTTCTTATAAATTTTAAGCAGACAATATCTTTCTTTGTCCAGAGAAGTTTCATCCTTGATGTGTGATCTTGTGATCTTAAAATCAACAGGAGTCATCTACTCCTTAGGGGATACCAGCGTACTTTCCTCAGATCCTCTGTTTTCATGTATAAAGAGTTAAAATTTAAAATGGGAAGAGGAACATTTCTCAGATATGTTATGTGTTCAGGCTTATGAAGCCAGTGTCTACAGATAGGAGAGGAACGTTCCTCTTATGAAGCCAGTGTGACCAAATAGGAGAGGAACGTTCCTCTTATGAAGCCAGTGTCAACAGATGGGAGAGGAACGTTCCTCTTGTGAAGCCAGTGTCAACAAATAGGAGAAGAACGTTCCTCTATGAAACCAGTGCCAACAAATAGGAGAGGAACGTTCCTCTATGAAACCAGTGCCAACAAATAGGAGAGGAACGTTTCCTTATGAAGCCAGTGCCAACAGTCAGGAGAGGAATGTTCCTCTTATGAAGCCAGTGTCAATAGGAGAGGAACGTTCCTCTTATGAAGCCAGTGACATTAGGAGAGGAACGTTCCTCTTATGAAGCCAGTGCCAACAAATAGGAGAGGAACGTTCCTCTTATGAAACCAGTGCCAACATTTAGAAGAGGAACGTTCCTCATATTCATTGGGTTCAGATTCATGTATATATTGTTAATATTTTAAAATGAGAAGAGGAACGTTCCTCAAATGTTCAGTGTATTTAGATTGATGTTTGTTGTATCATTGATTAGAATTGGTAGAGGAACGTTCCTCAAATATAATCTGTATTAAGGTTCATGGATATAGTATGTATTATCAATTGAAATTGATAGAGGAACGTTCCTCGTATAGCATTGTATATACAAACACACATATTTATTATAAGCAATCTGAAATAAAAGAGGAACGTTCCTCAAATACAGTTTTTGTGCATAGAACTAAGGAGACAACGAGCAAGATTTCTTATGAAGAGGAACGTTCCTCTCTTAAATTGCACTTAAAGTGGCGAATTTCTCGAAAAGCTCCCTTATAGCGGCTCACTTATTGACTTTTAGACCATTTTCGACTTAAGATTTGAAAAATCAGGTTTAAAAAAGGAATTTTGATTTTCTCTTTTTGATTTGGATTGTGTTATATATAACAGTAACACTAAAAAATACTATTGCGTGCAAAATAAAAATAAAATTAATTTCCAATTTCTATAACTAACTCGGTCTGTAATGTGCATGAGCAATATCAAATGCAATTGAATATATAAAATTCTTACCTGTTCAAGTTCTTTCGTTTATCACAAAATTTGTTAAAAGTTGTGACTGAGCAAATATGTATCGAGGCGGGTCGTTTTTACAGACGATTAATTCGACAAATTATATTAAGTTTACAAGGAGATGTTATTCCAGTTGTAAACTTGAGGAATTTTTTTTGCTCTTTGATCTATCAGCTTTTGTGAAAAACAAAGCGACCCGTTTCCATAAAACGTTTTATGTGATTGATTGTAGAAGGAACTCTCTCTCTCTCTCTTTCTCTCCAACCTTGAAATATCTTTCGTGATATCCATTTTAATAAAGATTTTCTTTTTTCTTTCTTACCTGTTACACAGGATTAAAATGACATTTCCGTCATTTTCTTTACAACAATTAATCAATCAGGCTGTAGCATTGATCAATGGCGAAAAACACCGTAAAGTTACTTACATGTATTTCCATTGGGTCAAAATCCGCGGAATTAACGTTTTCACTTTAGGATACGCATGTGAGTTAAAGCCAGGTATAGGCGTTTCTATGCAAATGAGCTAATAAAAACGCATAAGAAGTATATTAATTATTCAGAGAAAGTTTTGATTCATTTTCTTATGCATATTTAGTACCCACGATATAACATAGCCAGTACACATTATGACGTCATATTATGACGTCACTGATCTTTCCTGCTGGAGGTAATAAAACACCTCAACAAAACAGCTTCGATGCAAGGATTACCCTATTTATTTTTACATAAAAAGTTTATAATACTAAGAAGAATATTCTATAGATTAATAAAACTACTGCACAAATCCTAGGCATTTTCTCATTTAATCGAAATTTGAGGAAACTTATACCGGACTGTACATTTATACCATGATTCAACTTAAAACTTTACAAATAGAAATTATACAACTGAGCTGTTGATATTTGTGCAGCAATACCAGCAAACTTTGGAATATTTTACTTCTAAATATACCTTGTTTCTGTTAAATAAAATAGAGCATGCCCTTGCGCCGAAGCATTTTTGTTGATGTTTCTTATAATCTTGTGTAGTAAAGAACAATGACGTCATTATATTACGTCATAATGTGTAGTGGCTATCTCATGTCGTGGGTACCAAGTATGTATTAGACTATAAGCTTTAACTTTCTTTGCATAATAGATATAGTCCTTAGGCATTTTGATTAGATTATTTGCATAGAAATGCCTATGCCTAGCCTTAACTCACCTGCGTACACAATTCTGCGCATTTTCCTGCAGCACACGAGGTTCATAATCATGATAAAAGTCAGACATACACTGACATTTGTTTTATTATTTTTATTACCATAAAATGTAATCATTAGCCACAGTCACCACCATATATTGTGTATAACTCAATTTCAATTGACAGTCAACGATATCATACAGCCAAAATAGGGACAGAAATCCGTTTCGAATTGGATAGGGGTAGCTCGACTCCTTATGAGATAGATTCGGACCATCGGACAGGCATAATATCGCACACTATCGGGTAAACCTAATTATTATTATTATATTTTATTTCATTTCCATCCCTGCTTCACCAAGAGAAAATCTAAATAAATAAATAAGTTAATCAAAATAATAATAATAATAATAATAATAATAATAATAATAATAATAATAATAATAATAATAATAATAATAAAATTTAAAAAAAATTAAAAAAAATAAAACATAAATAAAATTTTAAAAAAAAGCGCTCGCTCATGTGAAACTTTAATATTTTTTATTTGATTAAATGAATTATGTTTTCTTTTTTCTTTCATTTTGGATTCGTCTTGTAAAGTGACCATATAACTGATATCAATTTAAAAAAAAATGGAATTTTAAGCGCTCACATTTTGTTTTGTTTTTTTAATTTTGTAATGGAACGCTCTCCTTTCCTATTAGGTCCGTTTATATCCGCATTGTAAGTTTTATCACGATGTTTGTACTTGACTGTATATGTGTTTCTACAATCAGGCAGTCTAGCGCCAAGTTCTTTAAAGCATTGTCTTGCCCATTTTTTGTCATATTTGTTGCACTTTAATGCCCTTACAGTGTAAGTAATTTAGTATGAATAACTTAAAGAAACCTTTTTTTATTACGTTTCTTCAGTTTAAGTGAATTTATTGCAGAATTATTTCGATAAATAACCAATGTTTACATCTGCGCATTCACATGTGTGTACATTCAGTTTGTTTGATATCGCACTTTTTAATGTTTGTTTGTTTCTTGTTTGTAGCTTTTACGGATTGTAATAAACCGTTATCTATCTGCTGAAACTTATAATTATTCGAAGTGAGCGGCAAAATATACTTGCTGACAAACATTAAGTATCTTTATCAGAAATACTCACGTACGTCATAATTGATCCAGAAAATTAATTAAAAAAAATAGTTGTTTTGTATGTGAAATCTGTTTCAAGATTGATTCTGGATCTAATAAAACGAATAACACACTTGGTTGATCAAATAAAAAAAAGTCTGCGATACCTTTGTAGATTCACTTCTCGATGAACCAAATAATATTGATAACCAATGATTTTAATTCATATTAAGCGACCGAAAAAACCTTTACTTTTTAAAATTAATTTTAATTATTTTACAAACATAAGGAATATAACGCGCACTGAAAACTTAACACACCCTAACCCTGAAGTCTTTTTTCTTCTAAGCTATAGAATGTTTTTCATGTTTTACAAAGTATACCAGGCTTCCAGGAAGCAATTTCTGCCTGGAAGCTCAACCCAACAAAAAAAAAATGAAAAGCAAATTAAATTTCGATATCAGTGATTATAAAAATTCCCTTTTCAGATTTTCCTTGAGGATGGACCTTCCTCAGCCATTTTCATACATTATGGCGCATTATTTACCTGTTTGGAAACATCAACAGTATTCTTACCTTGCTGGATAACTATGAAGCTTAGTTAACTCTAAGTTCTGTTGGTAAGTATTCATACATAAAAGTATGAATGATATTTACAAATACACATAAGTAAAGTAGGTAACATAGACGCATTTATTTTATTCCTATGTTTTACTTCCTTTGTCTCCCCTATCAAAATAGATGAATACCTTCCCGACCTTTCTAGTTCAGTTGAGTCCACAAAGATTTGTCTATTACTGGATGTCTATGAGGATACGCAGACAAATCAAAAGAAGAAAAGATCATTCTACCTGACGTTTCCAGTGCTGTTGTTGTTGCTGTGGTGAGATAACAATCCATTTCTTCTAATGAGAGATTCCGTAACAATACTCCTGTCAGATTACTGGGAGTTGAACATCTCGGTTCTTTGTTATACTTCAATTTCAAGTTTCTTGATTTGGCAAAACTGACAAATTCTGCTAAGATGCAGTCACAGTGCAGAGGATTGTCTTCTACTGCTCTATAAGAAATGCATTAATTATGCATATATCTTTAGTGACTTTGATATTCGACCATATAAATATGACTTCTAATGATTTTATTTGTATTGCACTAGAGATATGTTAGAAAAACGAGGACAGGTGTACTTTATTAATTTCAGTATGATAGTATTGCGTTAAAAAAAATCTAAGTGAAACGCCGTTGCCCCCATTTTGAAAGCTCAAGTCCAAGGCCAAATGTAGGACAAACTCCAAGATCTAGGACAAGAGTTAAAATAATTGGTATCGAAAATAAGTATTGTCAAAAGAATTATACATGTGACATATGAAAGCCGTAACCAAGCTATTAAAAAATAAGCAATGTTTTGAAAAAGAATGTCATACTCCAAAGTCTAAATTATTGTTATCAAAAAAGGCCTTGTCACAAGAAATACATCAGTGAAATATGCAATCCCTAGCACAAACTGTTCAAAAGATATGGCCAAGTTAATGTTTTTTTCAAAGGTAGTTCAAACCCCAAGGTCAAGGTAGAAAGACAAAAAAGTCCATATCAAGGTCTTGGCACATGATATACATATGTGGAATATAGAAGCCAAACACAAACCGTTCCAAAGTTAGGCCAAGATTGAAGTTTGGTTTTACTTTGCAAAAGTAATTCAAATGCCCAGGGCATAAGGTCATGTTGGTACCAAAAACTTATCTAGATATAGACATATGAAAAATGAAAGTCCTAGCTTCAACCATTCAAAAGATATGGATATGTTTTTTATTTTTATTTATTTTTTTTTAACGAACAGATTAACAGAAAAACAGACAGAGAGACGAGCAGACCAAAATCGACCGATCCAGAATCTTCGACTACAGGGGTATTAAAATATAATTTGATGTATTCGCCATATTATTATAGTTGAAATATAAATATTAAAATGTATACTTACAATCTTTTTAATTTCGGAAGATCCTTGAAAAATCTTTTGTCTAATACAGTTATTTTATTTCTATCCATGTCCCTATGGTTAAAGCAAAAATATTTTTAAAACATTATGTTACGTATTGAATACTCAAAGAAATATGAAGATAACGAACAGTATTCAATCTCAAAAGTCCAATGAAACGATACCAATTTGGAGCAGAGCAAACACGGACCTCAAAATTTAGAGGTGGGAACGGGTGCCATGGAAGAGTGAGCATCCCCTGCCGACAGGTTACACCCGCCGTGTGCTCCTTGTTATGATCGGGAAACAAAAACCGGAAATATCCGTAGACAGCTCAGTGTATAAATAATGGCCTAACAATCAGTATGAAAAACGTCAGTCAGCATTTTACTCAATGAGAGGCTGTATGTGCTGACAAGGTCATTGTATCGACCGAAAAACTTGCGAAAAGATGACTTCAAACGAGACTGTTGATATCCTTGTTTCGGCAACTTGTTTGTCAATTGCCTGCCTCGTTTTAGAAATTGTTCATACGTAAAGCATGCTCTTGCGTATTGAATCAACTGAGAGATATAAACCCTATGTGCAGGTGATAAGGGTATATTGCTACATAAGTAAAGGAAGTTGACGATTGAAAAGTTGAAGTCGTCACGTTTATCATAAAGCTTTGATGTTAGGTTACCATTAACGTCTTTTTCTAGTTAAATATCTAATTATGAAACAGATGTGTTAGAATGTTTGGTATCTTTTATTTCAAGCTCACTGGGATATATCGAGTCGACATATGAATGAAGGTAAATATTGTTAATTGATGTTACGTCGTCGTATAATTTAAATGAAAGTGCTTTATATAAACACATGACCAATGAGTTGCAAAGAGTCTATCTCCCCGAGTTGGTAAACTGTTTAAGTCTTTCATTTCAATGCAAATTAATGATTGATTGTATGCATGTTGTTTGACGTCCCGTTCAAGAATTTTTCACTTATACATAGACGTCACAATATACCACAATATATGCCAACGCCTACCGTGACACAGGGCCTCAGTTTTTAAGGTCTCATCCGAAAGCCCCGCAACTTTCAATTCGGAGTACCGAGCGCTTGGCGAAGGAACAGTTGCTACAATTTTTTGAATCGATTTATGTCAGTCATGGGTGTGATTAGAACACACGATCTTCCGATCACGGAGCAAGCGCTCTATCGACTGATCTACTGTAACGGCTACAAGGTTAATTAAGATCCATTCTCTGAAATGTACTTTTATAAAGGAACTATGACACACATAGTCTCAGAATTTCTCCAAACTCTTTATGACTAAAGTTTTTCATACCTTAAACTCTAATCAAAGATAAATGCATCCGGTTACATGTACCATGGCAATATGCCCTAAAGTTTGAAAAATGGCATTTTTGAACATGTTCTTAATCCATTGTTAACGTTTGCAGCAGTGCAAACAAGTGGGAATGACTGTTTCGAAAAGGTTGAAGGCCCGATGACACTACGGAAACAAAATATTCAAATGTATTGATTTCATACTTCATTTTTATAAAGTCATGCACTCAAAAATACCCTATATATAGTCGGTCCGCCTATAAGTCGGTTGATTTTTTAAGTTAATATTAGGGGTTTGATCCTCTAAAATACCAATCTTTTGAAACCCGCCTATAAGTCGGACAAAGGTTTTGGACCAAAGCTTAACCCCCCCCCCCCAATTAAAAACGACTTGTAGGCGAGTATATACGGTAATAGTAGCTATAGGTTGAAATGTAACCAAATAGGAGAGAAAAATCCCTGTAACATATACCAAGGACAGAATGTGATATGTATTACTGGTTGGCAAGGGTTGCCATGGTTAAATTACAGCAAAGAGATTTTAAAATTTATTCTTGGTATGTTATAATCTGATCTTATTCTTTATGAAAAGGACATTTTTTGAGAACTGATGATCAATTTTCAAAGGCATTGGTGAGATCCTAATTTTCAAATTTCAAATAATTCATATTTAATTCCCTTGAAAGAGCTTTGCTATGGAACTTATAGGAGAAAATGTATAAAAAGCTGAAACATATTTTTATTTCCCTAGGATATGTGCCACTGTATGAAGATTTCCAAAACTTATGAATTATATTTCTACAAGATAAGTGCAATTTAAGGTGAGTGAATGAAATATATGGAGTTAAAGAACTGTAATCAAGCTCAAAAGTCCAATCAAACAATATCAAATCAGGAGCAGAGCAAACTTGGCCATCTAAACATCAGCTGTGGGATCAGGTACCATGGACGAGTAAGAATCTTTGCCGACCTGTCACACCTGCCGTGTATCGACCATATATATAACTTAATTGCGAAATAATTACTTTAAACGAGACAGCTGAGATTTTTGTTTCATCAACTTCTTTGTCAAAAAATTACCTCGTTTTAGGAATTGTTCGTACGTAGAGAATGCTCTTGTGTATCGAATAAACTGAGAGACATAAACCCCATATGCAGGTAATAATGGCATTTTACTACATGAGTAAGGGAGTTGACGATTAAAAAGTTGAAGTCATTACGTTTATCATAAAACAATAGTTTTTTTTAGTTAACCATTAATGTCTTTTTCAAGTGAAATATCCAATTATGAAGCAGATGTGTCAGCCTCTGTGATATCTTTTATTTTGAGCTCACTGGGATATATCGAGTCGACATACTATTGGAAGTAACTATTTTTAGTTCATAATACTTCGTCGATATATCTAAATGTACAGTCGAAGGCCACAGCAAGTGTTTTCTTCTTCTTCTCATTTATACTAATCATATATTTTGAAAGAAAAAATGCTTAATGAATACAAAAAATGTTGGATAAACAAACTAAAATTTAAAAGAAAAACTAGTAAAAATTTAAAATATATCTTATTCGACATAAAAAGAAAAAAAAGGCTTGCAACTCTTTTCTCGTCATCCACCTCATCTCACTTTAACTTCGTGTGAATGTTTATCGAAAGCGGAATAATAAAACATCGAATATGCATACATAAATAGATTTGTTACACAAGTTTCTTCCTTTTTATCTTTCCATTTAATTTTTAAGTGCTACCGATTTGTGAATTAAATCACCTTCATCTATGGTAATTTTTTGTTTGGTGTTCCTAAGCTTGTCTCGGAAGTGAAATAACGATAACTATGACTGCTTATCAAGATTAAAGGGGTTACCATATAGATATTATATGCATAGATATTTTAGTTTATATTAGAACACCAAAATAAGAAGGTGTGTCAATCCCGTATTTAAAAAAAATACAGTGAAAAATGGGGCTCTATCCAAAAATAGCCTATGGCAACCATGGCAAACAAGACACATAGCAACCATATATAAATTCAACAAAGTTAATAAAATAATCTAGAAAAATTTGTACGTTTTACAAATAAAGGCACTTTGAGTTTTAAATATCATTGATCATTCCGATACATATATTCAATAAAGATTTTGGAATAACGTAAACGTTGTTAAGTATTGCTTGTCCAGAAAGGTGTTTTTGAATTTAAAATAAGAGTTTCAAGGAATGATGATTTTTTGGCAATGAATAGGGGATGGGGGTCAAACTTTTTGCATTGTAAAAGATCTTCCATTCTTGTAATTGATAGCCCTTACTTAATTGCTGTCTAAATTAATTAGGGTGAAATAGTCTGTAATAAAATTAATATTTCTGATGTTTGAGGTGTTAAATACCCCAAATTACCTATATTTCTAGAATGACCTGATCAATTCTTGTTTATGCACATGCTAAAATAAGAAGCACACTCTGTCCACCAGATGATGATGAATGCTACAAATGTATCTATAAAAGAATCAATCTTTCTCAATTAAAAAGAATATCAGTTATGATCCTTCATATAAAATGAGAATTGATTTTGAGTGATGCCATAAACAATATCAAAGTAATGTCAGTTAAGGACATACGCAACGTAGTTTGTACTTTATTGTCTTTTCCCCTGGAGTTGAAGAGTTCCAATAGTTAAAGGAACTGTGTGCTACATTTTTATGTCTAAATATGCTGTTGTACACTTCTTCTAAAACAAGTTTGGATAAACAAAATATCTGGAATATATGTTCAGTAATTTTTGTGCATTTTTCTTTGAATTATACAAGAATTTTCATTAATTGATATCTTTTCAAAACCTCTGGTAATGCATGCTGATTTTTTGTCTACGAACATCTGATGGCACAATAATCTTTAATTAAGAATATCTTGAAAAATTATCAGTAGGTAAGGTACGTTGCGTATGTCCTTAAATGAAAATAAGAATATCTTTTTGTTCAATTTTTCATCAGTTGTGAAACACACTTTAATTAAATGAAAAAGTAGATCAAACGCCTGCCTACTTACAAAATTTATATTTTTTTTATGGATAAATATGAGATACACCCTGTGCATCTAAATTCACTGAAAGTCAAGCCTGTGCTTAATGCTTTCAAAGGAAAAAATAAAATATGCATGTCGCAATAGCATCAGAATTGAAGAAATTTAGTAAAATAATTAACTTTGTCACCCTCTCGTGCTACATGTAAGGTTTCAATCAAATGAATGCTGGTTATAAACAAGCATCATTATTGTTCTAGATTGCCAACTATCATAAGTGAAACGTATTTCTGTTTCTCAATATTAAAGAAAAGGTTCCGAAATTCAACCTTTACCATACCTTGTCCTATGGCACAGTTATGTATTATCGTATCTTTGAATTCAATTGCTAACTGGATGCTATACGTTCATATTACAGGATTTGGTTTCTTTACACCCACAATAGAAATAGATAATATTTTGGGGTTCCGTCACGTCGCGTGGTCATAACATTGCTTGAGAAAATATGTATAAATTTTTAATTATAATAATGTTGAGCTCGAATACGTTTTGTTTAATTATAATAATTTTGAGCTCGAATACTGTTTATTATCTCTACATATTTCATTTGAAGATAATCCGTATCTATTATAGTTTACTCTGTAAAAAAGAAAATTTTACTTTGGATAAATGTAAAAACACTCATTGATGTACCTTAGTCTGTTTTTATTTTAGGCGTTAGTCCACAAACTATTT